AATGTTTATATTTACAAAATGTCTCCTAGAACCTTGTGTATTGAGGCAGAATGCCAATCTTGTCCTAAATAAAAACAGGCACATTGCCAAAGTATTATTTATAACAAAAAGAAAGGAACAACTTTCTAATTGTACTTAAAATGTATTAGAAATTATTATTGCTATAGTAATTATAGGTAATTGTCATTATCTTTAATCTCACTATATCTTACAATTCATATTTTTGTTATTTTGGATTATCTTTAGGAATTACCAATTTAGATAATGTTTTGTCAATGGGTATTACCTACCATTGTTAATATTTTATTTGTAATACCAATGTCTTTTACCTTATATTACATTTGTTATAGCTAATGGGTTTGACAAGACAACTTCATGCCTTTGTTTTGTTGATAATTAAGAATATTCCAGGATGAGTTCTAGAGTTCATATCTCTATGAATATAAATTCAATCAATATAAATGTTCATCAAAAATCTATAAGTTCATTGAACACCTGCTTCATACCCCTACATTTCAATAAAGATAGCCTTTATCAACTCTTAAATTAGTCATAAATTATCCAGTAACATGCCATATTGTACACAATAAATAAATTGCTACATAATTCTTGCATAAAACATACACAAAGTCCAAACAACAATGTTCCTAAGTTCTAAGTAGTTCTAACCCATCCAATTGTCCACAGTGTTTGGTATGGTGATCACTGTTGGTCAGGCTATTGTCTACGTAATGACTGGCATGTACGGAGAGCCCAGTGAAATAGGAGCTGGTGTCTGTCTTCTCATCATCATCCAACTGTTTGTCGCTGGTCTGATTGTGTTGCTGCTCGATGAACTCTTACAGAAAGGTCAGTAGAGATGAACAGGCAGCCATTTTGAATTTGTCAGCTTAGGAAATGTGATAAATGTTGTAATTTCTACTTAATTATGTTGTAGTTTAGCACTTGTTTGCTAATTTTTGTGTTTACAGTTATGATAGTGAAGTTAATGTAACTGTTTTTCATTCATATATTATCTATACTAATCTTCGAATCTACTGATTGGAATTGAATAATTATTTTTGTGTTGGATAGTCCATTTATCAAGGAAGGCTATAGGCTATTAAACATCTCGCTACGACCAATAGGAGCCGAACAGAGCGGGTGAAACCGCGCGCAAGTAGCTAGTGGAGACATATAAGGCTTTTGAAATACTTTATGCAGTCTATACTTATAAGTGCATTGATTTACAGGATATGGTCTTGGCTCCGGTATTTCCCTGTTCATTGCCACAAACATCTGTGAAACTATTGTCTGGAAGGCGTTCTCCCCTGCTACCGTTAACACTGGTAAGTTAACATAACATAACATGCTATATAAGTTACTTTAGACTTAATCACTTAAAGTTATAATTTGAAAGTAAACTTTAATGTAACTGTAATAGTAAAAAGTTTGGTTGAAGTTGTATGGCAAGTGTAAGAGAACCATATGCACACATTGTCTTTATAGTCTAAAAAAATTACTTTAGTAAAATTAATACTTAGGAAAATTTTAGCAACTAAAATGCTTATTCTGGATTGCAGAAAGCTAGATCCAGTAGTAAACGGATGATAAAATTTAACATTGAATAGACGCAGTATAATTCTGACATTTAAAGGGCAATTTTTTAACGTAAGTAATATTTGCGTACAGGTCGCGGTACTGAGTTCGAAGGCGCAGTCATTGCATTGTTCCACCTGTTGGCCACTCGCCCCGACAAGGTGCGCGCGCTGAGAGAGGCATTCTATCGCCAGAACCTCCCCAACTTGATGAACCTGCTCGCCACTGTCCTCGTCTTTGCTATCGTGATATACTTCCAGGTGAGATATTTTTAGTTATAATTAAACTGTCAAACACCAAGCGGTCACCGGTGACCGCAACCTATTGTTCTATAATTTTTTTTGTCGTGTCCATATTGCTTTTGTTAGTCATTCTGCCATTGAACTTAGTAAAAAGGCATTCTTGTTCTAATAATAACTGACTTTGGTAAGCAACAAGAGAAAAGACGATTTACAAAAAAATATTATCAAGAACCACTACTGTGAAAGTATGGACCAACTTATCTCCTATTTACCAAAGTTCAATACTGGATTTACATTTATCGAATGTACTAATGTATATTATGTAAATATATAAACCACATTCCATCAATATAATGAGAAATTAATCAATGTCATGTTGGTACACAACCTCAATATAATTCAGTCTCATACATTTTCAATGAGAATGTTCTTTAGCTTCACTCTCATAGATACAAGTACCTACTAATAAAAATTGTGAATAACAAGATAATATTACTGTGATAATAAAATGCATTTTAATCAGCTCATTTCTCAAGGTATAAATCTTGCTGAAATCTGTTAAACACCAATAGATTTTTAACTTATTCTGTCTGCCTTGTGGGTCTTTATTATTTATTTATGTTATTCAAAAACAAAATCTTCAATCAGTCTTTGAACAATGTTCCGTGTTTACTCGGCAGGGCTTCCGTGTGGACCTACCGATCAAGTCTGCGCGCTACCGTGGCCAGTACTCGTCATACCCAATCAAACTGTTCTACACCTCCAACATACCTATCATCCTGCAATCTGCTCTTGTCTCCAATCTCTACGTCATCTCACAGGTTTGTAAACTCTACTTATTACTGGTGTATCAATACATAGTATAAAACAAAGTCGCTTTCGCTGTATGTCCGTATGTATGCTTAGATCTTTAAAACTACGCAACGGATTTTGATGCGGTTTTTTTTAATAGATAGAGTGATTCTTAAGGAAGGTTTGTATGTATAATACATGCATATTGCACCCGTGCGAAGCCGGGGCGGGTCGCTAGTATTTTATAAATGATAATATTGCTGTAACTAGAACTCTAATGGGAAAAATGAAAAAAAAAAATACAGTATGCTGTAAAACATTCCTTTTTTAAACTTTAACATCATATTTATTATCTCCGTTTTAAAGCAATGCAATAACAAAAACCTTGATGATGATTATTCGCTTAGAAAATGCTCAACAATCCAAGAGAATGAAAACTTTATCAGGATAAAACACCTTGAAATTTTGAAAAAGTCTACAAAAACAATTATTTTCCAGATGTTGGCTGTGAAATTCAGCGGTAATTTCCTGGTGAACTTACTGGGAGTATGGGCTGATGTGGGCGGCGGCGGCCCGGCCCGCGCCTACCCAGTAGGAGGCCTGTGTTACTACTTCAGTCCCCCGGAGTCACTCGCTCACATCGCACACGATCCTCTGCACGCTGTACTCTACATCATCTTCATGTTGGGCTCCTGCGCCTTCTTCTCAAAGACCTGGATTGATGTTTCCGGATCCTCTGCCAAGGATGTAAGTATATGATATTTTGACATAAGTAGACGTCATTGTTTAATTTTTAGCTATGGTCATTTAAACACCTCTAAAATGCTGATAAGATTATTTGTCATGTTAAGGAAATACGACATGTGTGACCTACAAATTACTCATCCAACACTGCGTGCATAAAACTCGTTACAATACCGATCCAGTTATAGGTTTTCAAATAAAATATTCAAACTGTATCCTTAAGCTACATTTGTCTTCGTAAACCGGTAGAGGTCAACGAACTTTGAGACTTCACAATCATTGCCTTTTATTATGATACCGTTCAAGTAGTGGCCGCAACTTAACTTTCCAATTAGTGAAAGTGTATTACTAAATGCCGTGGAAATAGTGCAACTGTTTGGACCTTTTTATTTCAGGTTTTTAATACTAGTATTGTAAAACGTTATTATTGATTCAGTGTAGTTCGAATACTTAGTATGCACGCCCTGCTTACTGCAACTGAATAAATTACGAGTAGAACCTAATGTAATTTGCTATCGATTGTTTGTAAACGGTCACGTGTCTCCGCAGGTCGCCAAGCAACTGAAGGAACAACAGATGGTGATGCGCGGTCACAGAGACAACTCAATGATCCACGAGCTCAACCGATACATCCCGACGGCGGCCGCCTTCGGTGGACTCTGTATCGGAGCTCTGTCAGTGCTGGCTGACTTCCTCGGCGCCATCGGCTCCGGCACGGGTATCCTGCTGGCCGTGACCATCATCTACCAGTACTTCGAAATCTTCGTGAAGGAGCAAGCCGAGATGGGCGGCATGAGTACACTGCTCTTCTAGAATCATAATAGTCGTGGTCGCCGCAGACAGCGCTCTGGTCACAGTTCGTATTTAGCGGTCCGCAGCGCTCTCTCCGGCGCTGTAGTGTGCGTGGCAACGCGTGTGTGGGTTATGTGCTAATTTATATAAATGAACTTTATAATAAAATAATTTACAAGTACAGACTTTGTTTTTGTAGACCCTAAGCAGGTTAATGATTGTTCACATATTTTGGTCATCAAGACACCATATCAATATATTATCTGTGTTAGATTACTGTTAACATTGTACACAATAGCTTTAGAATCCTCACGAGCAGCGTAGACGTCAATTATAACTGGGACTTATCAAACAATCTGCAACATTGTCTAGATATGAAGACTGAACAAAGGATGTGAAATTAGACATTGTCTCAGCTGAACTCAACTATTATTGTTAATTTTCAGTTTCTTAAAAATATAAGTGAAATGACAGTAATTGTAATTTATAATATAAATGTTAGTATCCAACTTTGTTAAGATTAACTTACAAAACTTATATCTCATTAAGTTTGTGTTGGACTGTTTGTAATACATTATGTATATTTTGTTATACTGTTGATCCACGAATATATTAGATCCACGTATTGATTCTGTCGTCAATGTATCAGAAATAATATGTGGTTTAAGTAACTTTACCTATAATAGATACAACTCATTATACGCCACAGATTCAGTAGTTATTAATTCGAATAAATTCATTTATATTGTTTTGGATCAAATTATTTTTTATTTACATCAAACTTTTACAGAGGGTAACATTTTGATGAATTTCCTAGACAATATTGTGGAGGATTTGTATAAAACAACAAAGTACTTTTGTTATGTAACTTTATTCTCCTCACTAGACATGCAATACAAGGACAAAAAAACAATTTACGATTTTCCCTCAAAACCTTATAACAAAAACTCATCACGACTAAATTAAACGGTAACAAAATGTATTTACAAAAACAATAGACCGAATAAGTTTGCCGCCAAAACATTACAGTTGTCGGAAAAATAAATTGAGATCTTAGGAACATGATTGGTAAGAGATCGAACAGAACATTCGAACTTGGAATAGTGCCATAAACATTTAAATTATGGAACTTAAATAGTATACACGTATGGCACAACACTAAATACAATGTACCTTACAGTTAGAGGCACTTTGGAAGGAAACAATTCGTCACGACTGAATAGCGGATTTACCAACTAGAGTGAGGCGTGCACAGCATCATAGAACGACATGCATATAACAAAATGGAAGACAGCATACATAACAATGATTCCAGCAAATTACACAGCAATACTATAAGTCTCGCACTGTGAGGTGTGATATGAAGATCACGTGAAAATAAGAGCATAGTAAATTTTGTGGAGAAATAAAATGCATAAAGGGACAATCTAGAGACACTTTCTCTCATTTGCTTTCCTCTCCAACACTTCTCATGTTCAGAAGTCGCCGTTCAGTCATGACCATAACCTGGCCCGGGTAAAGTGGATATGATATAATAAGAATTTAATTATTGCTTATGAATTGTTTTGGCCTGGTCTTTGGTCCCTTACCATCATCGGATTGAGGAAAACATTTTATTCTGGACTTCTTTTGGAAGACTAGTCAGTAATACATGATAACCATTCCCAATGTGGTGTTTAGACGCAAAATTTGTCTATTTTTTGATAATTTACAGTATTTCTTTGCTTAGTTACACATACACCCTCAAGGAACAATCAAATTGGGAGATTATCAATGTTAACTTAAGCATAACATATGTCTCTGTATTTTCTATACAATTCTATAGCGCTTGTAGTCCTGCCGCTGTTTAGTGGGTCTCTAGTTAAACCTACTAATTAGTATTCACAGATATTTCACAATAAACCCCTAAATTATTTCTAGGCAATTGAACGATAAGTTTTTTATAAAATCGATGAATTATACTCAAAAAGCACTTTACCACTACCAAACCTTTTGCATAATATTATGTATGTACAAAGCTATTTCTAGTGTCTCTATGATCGTCATCGCGCGGTAGTTCATTCTCATGTTTATACACATTGGAATTCTTTACATAATAAATATTAATTGAAACCAAATTGTCATAAAAAATACAACAAACTAAACGCAACATGTGTAATCCAGAAAACATTTTTATTATTTTTAACAACATATCCGTGAAAGGAGAAAAGAAAAACAAAGAAAAAAATAACTATAAGAATAACAGTGCCAATTATTAACTAAAAAAAGTGGGATATAAGATCACTTGTCCTAAATTTATAAATTTTTCTTAGAGGATGAATTAATAAAATGCGTTAGTTACTAATAAACCCCGTAATGTCGAATATCAATCAATAGATGATGTTCAAAAAATTATACTAGGTACACAAGTGTCTAAAACTTCGAACCAATAAAATAAAATCTAAAATATAACAACAAAAATCAATTTGAAGCCGCGCCAGGCAAGTATGTCGTGTATCTTACTTTAGCTACGAACTAGTGATTTCGCTAATCAATCTTTATCATTTGTACATGCGTAAATAGCACTTAAAGTTATTGGGTATATTATATCCAAACTATTTAATATGGTAATTTAGAATATCGTCCGCACTCGGTTCATGTTTTTGCGCCCCATGCATGCTCAAGTTTTGTCACTACAATCTGATAAAATAATTACTTCAACCAAAAGAGTTGATATAAAGAGGTTCAATATTACAAAGTAGATCCAGTTTTACCCAGTATGACTGTACAATAAACTATTTTACCATTAGCATGTTTTCATTTTGTATATCTAGGAAACATTAGTCATTTAAAATGCGTAAAATAAATCTTGGAGTTGTATCGTCGACACGCATTAACAAAACTTAAGTATGCACGGTCGATAATAACTACACAAAGATAACACAGTGTAACAATTTTTTAATTGTCAAGTCACCAATGTCTGCTATTGGAATACATCCTGTGCATAAATAAAATAATGTGATATACTTTTAGTGAGATAACTGAAACAATTAGTAATTTCCATACAAAAGCAAGACAAGATGGCGGAGTACCGTTACAAATCTAGAAGCGCGAGTAATAATTTACGCGGATGTAACCGAGTGTTAGGCAACTGTTTCTATTTCCTCCTGTTGTATGACGGGCGCCTGCTCGGGCGACGATATCGTCTTGGAAGGCGCGTTGCTATAAGGCAAAGTCTTTAGTTTCCGTGCTTCACGCCTCTGCTTCTTCTGTTGCATCACGAGCCTTAGTTGCTCCAGTTTGCATTTAGTTTTAGAATTCTCCAGGGCTAGAGTCTTAGCAGTATCACATTTCTTGCATATCTTATCGGCGGACTTGCCGACGCATGCAAGGCACAGCTTTGGGTCGAGTCGTCGACACTGACAGTCTTTGGGCCCGTCGCACGTGCAGCGCCGCGGCACCGACGTGGCGGACGTGGACGGCAGGTGTCCGTCGCACTGGCCGTACAGGCACGCCTGCTGGTTGCAGCCCAGGCACTTGCTGCCGTCGTCCGCAGTCGCGCTCGTCGCACACGAGTAGCTCGCGTCCTTCTGTAATGTACAATTGTTACATTGTTACTTAGAACTCGTAGGAAGCGTAACTAGCGATAACAACAGTGTAGACAAGATAAAATTGCAAGATAAACGTAAACTATAAATGGTTCACCAATTTAACTTAGAAAATAAAGAATATTTGTAGCAGCATTACAAAACTTACCTGAGCTATAGTTATGGGTGGCGCAGCACATAGCAAGTCATTCAGTATATGAATTATTGTAGATATATCTCGCTTGGGTCGGCCATATCTGAAACATTAACATAAATATGTCTAAGTAACGGGACTTGAGATAACAACAGTAAATTTAAATAGACGATTTTCACATAAGTACACATTACACAACAAATATTTTTTTATCATGACTAACTACCTCAAGAGAAATCTTTATGAACTACGCATCAAACAAAATACCGTCACATACTTCGCTCAAATTACTACAAAACGTATCGCCGCCATCTTTGATTAAAAAATTGTGTCGGCATGTGTGCAAATATGTGCTGACACACATTCTATGGCCTTTTATTCTCTTTCTAAGTATCTCAAATGTTTGGAAGCTCTAAGTAAAAGATACAACTCACCTGTCCTGTAGAGCTGGGTTCAGTGTACCTGAAAAAGTCCCAGAATAAATTCCTTTGCCATGATGCTTCATGGACTCTATCACAGCGCCGGGACCAATTTTTCTGCACACTGTCTCCTCAGCTGTCCTCAGATCAATTTTATTAGTCAACACCTCTTTAGACAATTTCTTTAGTTTCTGAGTCAAATTCTTTGAGGCTTCAATGAGAGCTTTGGTGTCAACTGGAGGTGTTGGTGATGCTCTTTGTGGCTTCTTCGGAGCATCTGGTGCCTTAAATACAGTTTGCTTGGATGTGGATGGAGTGGGATTATCCTCAGTCTGACCACTGCTAGGCTGCAGAATTAGTTTCCTAGAATTAGTTATGTAAGGCTCAGTTCTAGAGGTGGAAGGTTGAGATAAATTAGTGTCCTGTCGACTTTGCATTCTTTTCTTATGTTTATTCACAACAGACTGCATGAATGCTTTCTGTTTATTTTGACCAATCGGATGTTTGAATTTAGATGTCTTGTGCAGTAAATACTGGAATCTCTTATTTTTCAAAGGTTCATTTATACTTTGGAAAGGTGGTAGAGTGCCTGAATTAGTTTCTTGACTGCCATGACTAGTTGTAGCCAGATTAGATATTTCCCTATCCATCATAGATTCATCTTGATCTTCAAATAATCCTTTGTCAACGGCACTGTTGAAAAGGTTTTCCATAGGATATTCATCTATAGGACTTTCAGCAAGGAATGAACTTTGGTCTGTAAAATTATCACTGTCATCACTGAGAGAACTGTCTGGAGTGTGAGAGGATGTTGAGGGGCTTTGCTTGTCACTGATGGCACTTGTTGAGGGTATCACATCATTGCTTATTTTATTTTGTGTGAGAAAATCTATCAATCTATTATTTTTCACAGAGTTGACAGCACCATCTTTATTCGGAGAAGATTCTGTGGCAGCTGCATCTATGGGACTGGACACTAGGTTGGACAAAGATTTGATGGGAGATTGCTCACTTTCTATTGATGTTTCAGAGAGATCTGATATTGTGCCATTAGATGTGTCCATTGTATCATCTTTGTCATCACTAGCATCACTTTTGTCACTGTATTTCTCTTCAGCCATAGAACGATATAGGTCAAAACAATTCTGTAGCATTTCAAAGTCTTGCTTCTGTAGCCCATGTGGAGCTGCTGGTTCTGGTTTAGGTGTTTCACTACTGATGTAAGAGTGGTCAGTGGGCACAGGTGTACAGGTAGGTTGAGTTGCTGTCTGAGGGCTGGGTGATTCCCTGGCGTCACTTTTACTAGTCCGTATTGATGTTGAAGAGTTTTTGGAAGGTGTGGATGTTCTCAAGGATCTGCAGCCACTGGAACTCGAGTTTAGGGTGGACAATTGCAACTGGATCAGCATCATATGGTCACCTAACCTCATTGTCAGGTTCAATGGAGATTTACCACTTAGAAAGTCATTAACCTGAGTGTCATTTAGGGATTCCAATGCTTGCATCACAGAATTTTCGGGTCTATGGCTCTGTAAAAGGATAACACAATAATATTAATGAAATTATAAGTTAGTCAATAGACAACTATCGCCTTAGTGATAAATGTGTATTGATTAGTTTGTCATAGTTGTGAAACACGTGATAATCAGGAGGTACTTGGGGGGTTTCGACACAGCACGCTGTCTCGAGCTCGTGACTCACCAGCAAGCCCGTCTCGACGCTCGGCAGGAGGATTACCCTCGACCCATCCAACAGACCGTTCTCTTCTAGCGTCCCATCCCTCAGTTGTCTGCGAACACGAAACTCAACTTGAATACGCGAGTCAAATAACATTGATGCGTCATCGTATCGACATATTTCCGTGATATGTTTGACAATAGAAGCTTAGCGTCTCGACATAAAACTTACCTTTCGCGATGCAGCAAGCATAATCTATCTTTAGACACCTTAAGTTTCTTTGAAACTAACTTCTTCAGGTGCTCCACTGTATTTTTAGGGTTCAAACTGATGGAGAAATTACCACCCGTAGTAGTTTGTATATTCAGCGTTATGTCCGAGGATTGGGGCGAGCCACACCCGTACACCTCTGTTCCCGTCGCGCGTTCCATAATTTCTTCATAAATTACACTAGAATTTACTATAAAACACTGTTCGAAGCACACACGAACTATCTTTAATTACACAGCTATTTTATTGCAGGATAGAAATAACAGGGTCACGCCAGACCCCCAGTTTTTTGATGTGGCCGTCGGTGTGACCAGTTTTCGTTCGCGATATCCCGTTATTTTTTTTTTACAACAGCTGATGCGAAGCGCTTACTATAATGCGTTTTGTTCTATGTCGTTCCTAATAAGAATTTGGTAAATTATGGCTTAAAAATATTTCTGTGACTGACAGGTCGAGAGAATTGAGATAACTGACTATATTGTTCATTAAGTTTCAGCGTACAAAGAGTAATTCTTATTTATTTGACTCGTTGTTATCAGAAAATTATGACGCATCATGGTCGTCGCTAAATTATGCGAACGTCAAAAGTAAACGTCACATGACGTCATGTAACGCTTGCTGATGACGGTGCATTGCCAGATTTTAGTTACGCGGTAAACTTAAATTATAGTAGCAAGTTATAGCGTAACTTTTTTAATGAAATGAGCACCTGTTTATTGGTTTTCTACAAAATTATACAATGAAATGAACATCAGTATACTTGAAGTTTGCAATGTGCTAACTCATTAAGTTAAGTAATAATATTTTTTTTTTATCAAAACATTTTACTAACGAAATATAAAATGAAAAATGTATGAACTATCCAGGAATGGCTCAAACAGCAGATCGATAAGGCTAAAAGCTATTTTCGTTATTGCCAGCTGTATTAATCTAGTTTAGCAACTTAAATCTATTATTAAAATTAGACGCAGATGCATCGACACACACGACTATTTATGTCGTTAATTTATAGTCTCATTATCGTAACACACTAATATTCGGGACCGTCATCAGAGAATAAAACCAATATAATTATTCCTGAACCCTCTTTATTGACCCAGCACCCACCAACACGATAAGAACAACAAAACTTAACATCTATCACAGCAGTGTCATACAAGATTTTCACAGTACATTATACAAATAATGGGCCATGGCCTCAAGTAAAACGAAGGCGCAATGAGATGACCTTGTAATTTTATGCAATATTCGTTGATTACGTGTTGATAGAAGACAAACTATTGTTGCGACCAAGGTCATTCCATTGACAATTTGTTTATGTATGACCAATAAGGTCTGAGTACACGTTTTGCCAAATTTCCTGATAGTTTACATATCCACATTGCTCAGTAAACAAGTGGCCAAAAGTTATCACGATAAAACAATTCAATAAATGCTCAACACTTCACAAATCCTTTAACATTTCACATTTAATTTATTATGAATGTATATATATTTTTAACAGAACAATCACTTAAACCTTAGACATTTGTTCAAAATATAGTTATGTAATTAAAAAAAATATTTTGTAGAGACAATTATATCATCTTTTATTTAATAGTTGTCATATTGTGTATAAACTATCACATAACAATTAAAAGTACCTAATAAATAACATTATGTCTATAAATATAGAATTATCTATTAAATATAAATTCTTACATTTTGTATTTCTTCCTTATAAAGGTAACTTGGGATTGCTGTTCACTATTATAATATTGCAGATTAAATGGTATGAATTATTCATAATAATATTATTATTATGTTCATCATTACCTAAATGGGAACCAGCCTACAAAGAAAATCATAACAATATAAATATGACTTTGTTTCTCGCACTTTCGCTTGTATAGAACTGAAACAGACACCGAATGGACGCCATTTGTGAAATAAAACTTAACAAAAGAAATTTCTCAAAATATTATGAATTTACTAAAATAGATTGGTCTGGTGTAACTATTTAGGTACATCTAGTTTTAAATAGTAGACATAAATATATTAAAACATCAAATATTTCATGATTAACTCGTCGAGTACCGTCATTATAGAGACAAATAGGTTGCGGTCACCGGTGACCGCTCGGTGTTTGACAGTTTAAACTACTATTAGCCATACACTTCTTATAAATAATAGTTTTACTACTCTTTTTACCTTTAAAACGAATAATTAATTATATTAATATGTAGCTGCATCAATTGAAAACGAGATAGTTATAGTAATAGTCATAAATAATCAATCAATCGACTTGTATCTTCAGCCGGTAAAATTTCGATGAGTTATGGCACTCGTAAATGAAACAATCTTGTCATAATCTTCTTCTTTCCTTCTAAGGGCCGATTTTTCCAACGCCAGATAACTTTTTGGAGGAAGAATTTTGAAAATTATTCCATACAAAATAATGTCAGACGTCAAGTTTATTCTACGAATAAAGTCCTTAAAATACCCTACATAAAAATAGTACCTATATTTTTCACATTCATGACCCATTGAAGGATTGAAGTACGTACAGAAGGAGATATTATTTTCACTACAACAAATTATGCATAAAGAAGTTTTTATTTATATAATTTTGAGCCCAATCATTGTAAAAATACAAAGGTAGTTGGAATAGGGTAAAGTTAAATTCAGATATTTTTACATCAACCACAGTTTAAATGTTTACAAGTGAACAGAGTACCTATAAAGATCAACATAATTTATTATTACATTTGTATAATCTATTTAGCTATGGAGACAAATGCACATAGAACGTTGTCGAATCTACTTCCAAAAGGGAAGAACTAAATTAATAAACTTATATAGATTTTAAATAAATACTAAAAACAACACCAATCACTAAAAATAAAATAAATTTTGTGATTGTAAATAGCGCAGCGTAGTTGTATTTGACGTAAAAACACTATTGCATCATGAAACTAGATTTTGTTAGACGTGTTGACCAAATCATATTTTAAAATCTAAAACATTTGTTACCGCATCGCCACTATTTCCACGTCTGTCGTTAGAGACTACATATTTGACAGACACTAGGCAGCTGACACCTTGATAAACCTACTGCAATCTTCAATCCAGACAATTTTGAATCTAAACCTTTTAAACTTGCAGTTTCTTATGTAGTGAAGATCCATGTCGAAAAGTGAACTGTCACTCATCGTTGATATCACCAACCAAAATACACTTGCAACAATAAGCCTAGGTTATCTTTTCCTTTGCAGCGTTCTATGTGCATTAATCCTTGTTAATCTATTTTTATAAAGGAGTTAACAATCACGAGCCGAACTCTTGCGTCTCGTTGTCGATCTCTCCGAACACAAACCCGCCTCTGCCGTCCATCTGCAGGTAGTGGTCGTGGTGCTTCCATAGGGACTTGCGGTGAGATACCGTGAATAGAGATATACCGACCTGTGGAGAAAAAATTTAATACATTATGAGATTTCTTAATTTTAATATGAGCTGTTGAAGAGTGGAGAAGCAACTTCATTAAAATTATTAAATGCAGTATTAAATGTAATCAGCACTTCATTGAAGCTACCAATGAAATGAGCTATCAATGAGTTTTATATGTGAAACAACATCCTCATTACTAACAATGTTTAAATTCAATGATACTTAAACTTAAAATAGCTACTAGCTACTGCGCTTCCTGAAAAGACAAAGATAAAAGTAGCTACACACCTCTCTGCAGTACTGGTACATTTGTCCCTCGACATCAACTGAAACTGCGCTGGTACATTCATCCAGGATCGCGAACTGAGGCTCGTGGTAGAACAGACGCGCCATCTATGCAATCACATAAACATTTGACGCATTAGTTTCGCATTGATGTCAATAGTATTTTTAAAACTGTCTTACAAGATATTAGTGAACTATCGGCTGCATAAATATATCAATTTTGAGTTTGATTGAACAATTTCTTTATCTAACTGATGGTACTAAATATCAGAAGTAGAAAAATGTCATTTCTATCGTTTTCCAGGTACATTTCTTATAACTTAACATACCAGTCGAAGACACGCGAATAATGTCTTGGAAGTTAGGTCGTACAACAATGATTATCTTACATCAAAAATACATTTTTCTTGATCTACACAGAATACTACTACATCTACACGTTTCTGTACAACTACTGAACAGATTGTTATTACACCAGCTCTCATATCTATGTAACTCACAGCGATCCTCTGTTTCTCCCCCCCGGACAGTACATCCATCCAGTCCTCCACGGCGTCCAGTGCTCCCTCGCGGTTGGTCAGGTACGACAGTTGAACTATCTCCAGGAAACGATGCAGTTGCTCGTCTGAACGACCCCGTCTCTGCATCTCCTCGCGAGTTTGTGGGTAGATTATCTAAAGATATACGATTTATGTAATAAAGTGGGTATTTTATTAATGTTATAGTATTTTTTATGAGTTTTTAGATTGCTTACAACATATTTATAAAAGACCACACAAACTAATACAAAAGTTAACTAATCGAATATTTGTTGGTTAACGAATAGCAACCAATTAGAAACATGTTAGAAAATTATTTGAAAGCCTTTATTCATAAATACTGTATAATGGATTACATAAAAGGAAAAACAGTATTGTTTCTTTAGTAATCACAAGCTGGGTAATTATAACTCACTATTTTACATAGATCATCTTACCTGATCTCTTAACGTTCCTAGCGTCATGTAAGGTCTCTGCGGTACGTAGAAGAGCTTGCCTTTAGGTGGCTTAGTTAGGGTGCCTCCGAATATCGGCCACAACTCTCCAAGCTGACGGAACATGGACGACTTGCCGCAACCATTGGGACCGCATACGAGAACGTTTATACCAGAGCTGGAAACAAAATAATACTTTTGTATTTAGTCTTGGACAATGGTTTTATGTCGTTACTGGAGTGATCTTAAAAATGTTATAATACAAAACTTATAGATCCACAAAACCAAATACAAGGTGTAGTTTTGAAACCGTGGCATTTCTCTATTGGAGTTTTATGGAATTAGGAATAATATCAATTACGTATTTGAGTTTGTATGTGTTAAGCCGCGTTATAAAGCTAGTTACAAGACGGCGGCGTGTAGGTCGCACTTACGGAATTCCATAATTTACAAAAAAAAAAAAGAAAAATATTTACCTACAATTTTTTTTATTGGTTCGGACTCAGAATCGATTGCCGAGTTACCTCCTACAAAATGACGAGGCTTTAAAATAACACCTTATATATACATACAATGTATATGGTAAAAGTCTGGCTTAACACATGTATAAGACTGTGTAAACCAGTATGAAAAAACTCTATTTGTATTCTTTTTTCATACCATAAATAAGGTAATGGTAAGGACCATAATTTATACTCAAGTATAAGAGTCACAAAAGGAGTATAAATTAGGAGGTGTATACTAACCGGACTTCGAAGGTGAGTTCCTTGATGAGTACGTCACCGTTGGGTGTGACGAGTGGAACTTTGTCGAAACGTATGATCTTGTCCTGGTAGATGATGCGACCGGCGCCTGGCGCTAGTATAGCTGGGATTTCTGCGAAGGGAGAAACACATAACGAATGTTGTTTAATGCAGATTGTTTCCTTGTATCTATCTTTCTTCTACAATTCATAACAATCAGTTTAGTGGTTTAGGAGCAAAATTTAGCAAAAATCTAGTCAATAAGTAAAAGAAAGTAAAAAGTATTACCTACATTAACAATGAATACATAAGTAATACTTAGGTAAGTACTATAAGATTTAAATCAGAGTAGGCAATAATGTCTCCTTTTTCCAATGACCCATGTATGTACATATTTTTTCACCCAGTTCTTACAAAAATTCGTCCCGATCATCCTTTCTTTGTTTCCCAATTCTCTAACGCACAATTCAAACAATCCAGCAGCTGTAGCCAAATATCATTTAGCGCTTGTCTACATGTAGAATAGAAAACAAAATTATATGGTTTTGACATAAATTTTGACACTTGTCAGTGTCATCCCCATACATTTTGATTTCTACTCTCTCTGTAGACAAGCGCTAAAGTGGCGTTTAGCTAAAGGCCTTGAATACACAATACCCCGGTTTCCCTTGAATGACGAGTAGAACTCACCGCTTCCATTCTGCGAGTTCCTATCAACCATGGTCCTGGTATAGTTTCCTTTGTTAACATCGTCCAGTACGGTGCGTAGTTGAGTGACGCGTGACGTCAGCCCCGCTAGTTTGCTGAGCTCGCGGCCTGACAGTACGAGCCGGCCGATACCTTCCGCCATTTTCACTAACATACGGCCGTATGTGTAGTAGTGCTGTGGAGCAATTTGAGTAATTTTTAGGAATTTGTGGTCTAATCTAATATAGTGTGTAGTGTATAATATAGTTGTGTATATAGTGACTGCACGGTTGACGCGGTGGCTGGATAGCTGGCTACCGTGCAACATGCCGGGTTCGATTCCCACACGAAATAACTCTTTGTGAGATCCACAAATTGTTTTTACGGGTCTGAGTGTCATGTGTTTGTTAACTTATATTTGTAAACGCACCCACGATACAGGAGAAAATAATAAAGTGGGGCAACGTTTTCTTATTAATATTAGGTTACACAGGTGGCGCTCTGCCCAAGCAACAGCTTGTTTAACTGGGATCACTTGACATTAGCAAATATTCGAGAGGTCAATAGAGCAATAACCTATACGCGCTGCTTACAACGTCCAAGTTCTTATTAGAAGTCCCATTGTAATACCCCTGGCTGTTATAGAAACATTACATTTACCTTCTGAAAAAAAAAAATACCTCAAAAGTATAAAAGAAAATATTTACCTTGAATCTATCATTCTCGGTGCCCGTAGTAAGCAAATTGTGGTCGACTGCGAAGAATGGACGAGATACAGCGTAGAAACCGACGGTAATAGCCACATCTGTAACAAACACACATACATACATACATACCGTGGTCAGTATTGCATAACATAGTACATTAATTTATATGGTCTTTAGTTACTTACACACCGTCACTTATAAATAACATGTAATATAACATATATGGTAATCTAATGTTACGTATACAAAAAATATGTTGAATTATATTTGGTTAAAAATATTCGAGTAGCAGCGCGACAGTAGCCGCGTCGCGGGTCGCGGAATGCTGCTCATGAATATGAGCCTCTAGCATAGCTTGAAACTAGTCGAGTTTCTCGTCAAATTATTACGTGAGTAAGCCGAAAACATAATAATTTTTTTAGTATGTCTAACGAAAGTTACAATACAGGTATAATATACCTATTATTCTACACTATAATCTAGTACATCTCTAATTTCATTCAAATTCGTTCAGCAATTTGCATGAATGTGTAAGAAACAATGACACACCCACACAAACGTTCACATGTATAATATTAGTATGATAGTGGTACTTACATTTAGCAATGATGTTGTCAATGAATCCCATGCCGACTCTGAAGTTGAGGAAGTTGCGCAGATGTCTAGTCAGCTTGTAGAAGCTGGCGAGCAGCGTCAGTTGCTCCCGATGGTTGCCCTGGGAATTTTACATTTCGATAAATATAATTTAAATTTAAAACAAGCCTTTACATAGTTTAGCATTGTCATGTCTTTCAATCGTTGAAGATACCTGCAGCTGTAGCCAAATGCCATTTAGCGCTTGTCTACATGTAGAATAGAAAACCAAATTATATGGAATTGACGTAAATTTTGACATTTCTCAGTGTCATCCCCATACATTTTGATTTCTACTCTCTCTGTAGACAAGCGCTAAAGTGGCGTTTGGCTAAAGGCACTATTTCGATAATTTTGTTGCAAGATTCCACTTCATATACGTTTGTATTTGTATGTATGAATGAAATAGAAACTTGTAAAATGTATCAGATACATAATTGGCGTTATATCAAACACGCGTGGAAAATAAATGAATCATAAGATACATTTTCAAACACAAAAAAATTATTAACACATTTTTTTAAAGTTCTCACAGTTTTTATTGTAGTTACAATTGTAACAACTTTTATACAAACATCAATGTTTTTTAATATGTATAAAACAGTCGGGTAAAAACCTACTCAATTACTATATTATTTATGTTAATTTTATGGCAAGTTTCAAATGTTTATGTTGTCACGCTTATTTTAATTCAATATACTGTGGGAAAATTACATAAATTAAGAAGTAATTCAAAAGGGTTCTATTGTTTAAATATAATGTATCCATGCTATTTATTTACATGGTCAAAGATAATTCTGTTGTTTTTTTCATATATATTTCTAATAAACTTTTCACCATAATTTCCCTACAATATGTTTTTTTTTCTTTTAGAAACTTGACCCACACGTATAACATCCATAGATAATAATAAACTAATCTTTGTTGTAATCTGTACAAGTGACATGTTTACTATCGCGCGAATTAAAAATTAATTCTCTTTTTTCATCTTTTTCATTTTTATCTTTATTTACATTACCATGACTACATAGTATATAACAAAGTCGCTATCCGCCTATATATGCTTAGATCTTTAAAACTACGCAACGGATGTCAATGTGTTTTTTTTTAATAGATAGCGTGGTTCTTAGGTGTATATATTTGGTTTATATGTATAATACATGCATATTGCACCCGTGCGAAGCCACGGCGGGTCCCTAGTTTATAATAAATTAAAATTGTAACATGACTTACCTGATAGAAGGCGACCTCTTCCGAATATGTGATCAGCCTAGAGTTCACGTATCTGAATTCACCTTCCAATTTCTGCTCATGAACCGTCATCTTAGCTGGAAGAAAAGAAAATATGATGTCATTAAAATTAGAAATTACTGAATTTATTTTGTTCCGTTCTACTATATGCATATTGACTTTTTATGCAAAACTTTTTAATATGGAGATTTCAAGACTCATTACTGCTAAGTAGAGTATATCAATGACTTAAGAAATTTGCAGAAAATAAATACTATATTTAGTCTTTAGTGAAGTTAGCTTAATTGTACACACATTTGAAAATATTTCTGATATATATTTCAATTAATTACCTGTAGGTCTTCTGAGGTACGTGAGGAACACTCCAGACAAGAGTAGGTAAGCCATCATTATACCAGGAGTCTGGAAAATTAACACATACATTGAAATTACTAGTTATTAGCAAGAAATAAATTATACTTTTACATGGAAAAAGAAGATTCTAGATTGAAACTAGGCAATGGCGTGGATGTTAATAGTGTAATATAATTGTGTTAGTGGAGAGAAAATTCTAGTGTGGACCAGCAATAAAAAAAAAACTTTGGTAAAATAAAGATAACGTTTTTAGACTGAATCTGCCAATCTGCAGCTGTAGTCAAATGCCACTTAGCGCTTGTCTACATATAGAATAGAAAACCAAATTATATGGAATTGACGTAAATTTTGACACTTGTCAGTGTCATACATTTACATACATTTTGATTTCTACTCTCTCTGTGGACAAGCGCTAAAGTGGCGTTTTGCTAAAGGCCCTGGCTTGAAGAAGTGTATCGCTACACAATAGCCACAACAGGTCGGTCAATTGTGTTCTCTACGGACATTGTCAATTCAAGCAGTAAATACACTTCATTACTTTATTCACTGTAAATATTGCATCTATAGGCTATTAGGTATAGAATGTATATTAATTTTTTTAACTGTGACATCGTACTATAGAGCAGCTTTTTTATCCTCCTACGGCTTTCTGTGCAAATTCTGTAGCTATAAGGATGATATCAATGTTAAATGTGTGATATCATTGACCTGTATACAATTGGCCAAAGATTTTTTTAACGTTAAATATTTAACTCTAGGGAGGGCGCGCTATGCGCATTTTACCGCTTCAGCTAAAAAATCGTTAATAATTTTCAAGTCTTGCACTTTTTGGTATAGCTGCTTTTAATTTCGTCAGCAATTCGTGGCTAAGGATTTGACAATTTGCGCTAGGGCCCGGTTGACAAGATATTTGTTAAGACCAGGTTTCTGACGTTTCCAAAAGGCGCCTCCACTCTAGGGTTAATGAATGTATGTTACTCACCGAGGCTCCCAAGTTAACAGTCAACCTGTACAAGTAAATACCGATATCCAGCATCGGTTTGCTGATATTACTGTACAGGTCTACAACTGTATCGCAGAACTTCTCAATGTCTGTCGTCAGCAGCTGGTCAGCGTTCGATATCCTATTGTCCAGGTTTGATACTTGGTAGTAGGTGAAGCCCCTGTAAAGATAAATTGGGTGATACCATTATTTATAGTTCTGTGTATAGTACATTAAAGTTTAAATGTACCTAGAGGACTGACCGATAGACTGACCCTTTGTATTTTTTTATGCCTTTCCAAAGTGCCTTTTTGGTCTAATTAAAATTTAATGATTTTGACTTAACTTTGACTTGACTTGAATTTGATATCGGTATGATAACTTCAGGAATCTGTTAGACTGTGGGTCACTAGATACAGTATGTTATTCATTTATTTATGCCAAATAGTATATGCAACATTAGTCTTAAATGAATCCCTATGTCCCTTGGCCACGCCATCACGCACAAACAACTAGACCGTTTGCATTATTTCTTTTTATTGTGTTTGTTATTGTCAGGAAAAGATTATGACAGAAAATAAACTCTGAAAAACCTACGGGAATGGGATAAAACAAGATTGCGCGTATGAAGTCGCGGGCAGAAGCTAGTTATATCATAAAATTGATATACAATATGCAACATAAACAATAGAAATTCCATAAAACAAATACAAGCCTTCAAAGTTAAATATTACAAAGTATGTAGTACTATATGTTATAAAATGTGTTTATTTTATTGCCATAGTTTACGATATACGAGTTGTTACTAAAATATAGGTATATTTTGTGAGATTTGTAATAAAAAAAGGAGAATTTTAAACAACATAAGCAAAACGCATTATTTTGTTTTGAATTTTATTCAAGATGTTTTTGCGTCTCAACTTTTTTGCATATTCAGTCATTCAGATCAGATACTTTCTGTAACAAATTCTCTATAGGTTTAGGAATCGGTACAATAGACTAGGTAGCAAGTAAAAATTAATATCAGTTGGGTATTATAATTAGGTAATTATAGGTCTTATAATGTATATCGGTGTTATTATTGGAATTGGACTTTAAATTCTCAATAAAAGATATCGGAGGAAATGGCTAAGCCTTTAGTCTGCGGAAATAAAGTATTTAATGAAATTATAAATACTTTTTATCATACATCTTTTGCATGTTATTCTTTGCAGGGGTCATTTAGAGGTGACCATGACACACATTTTTTTGCACTTAGATAAGTTTTAAGGGGGGAGGGGGGGGGGAAATCATCGAATTACTGCTCCCGCCTGAGTGAGGCGGGAGGGAGTGTCAGACTCTCACTGGCTAAAAACCACCCCGTTCCTACTCCTGCACTTCGAGCCGGAGCCCCGGCAACCCGTTAGGTTCTGCGCGACTCCGTATCGGCATCAGCCCTATTGGATCCCATCCGTGGTATTTAGATGAGTTTTGCAAATTTTTTTCACATAATGTAAAGCAGGCAAAATTTTCTCATTTCATAAATATCATTTGTACTTATATATTGAATTGGGTCCTTGGGATCTTATCTCAAATATTTCGGAGGTCACTTATTATTAGAAAAAAAAATAATATAAATGTATATGAGCAGTTAATATTACATTGATATCTATTCAATGGCTATCGTAATACTTTAAGAGGTTTCCTTGCGACAGAGATAATGCATATCAGACATTTATGAGTACAGCCATAACAATAAACGTATGAGCAATTGCAAACATGAGTCTGGTTATTTTTGAATAATTTTGAACTTGAACACTTGGTTTATAGAGTCGAAAATCCATTAGAAGTTTAAAATAAAAAAGCCGTAAGGTTTTATTAAATTGGGCCGAGAATTTCAATGTTAGAGTTGGAGAAGAAGGCCAATCTTTCTCCTAGCTATTTCTCAATTCGTTGTGAGGTGAGCACCACTAAGTCTCAACCAGTTTTGGCTGAACATCAGTATTTTGCATAGAGTGTCAGTTCTTCACTTCACTTCAGTCTTTCACTTATATTTAGACAAAAAGACCGATCCGTAAAAACATTCTATTACCACGTGAAAGACAGGCGAACAAACGCACTTTTGTCTCCTTGATAATTCAAGATCAGTAAAGATATACAGTATACCTGTATAGTCAATGTCAATTAGGTACTTTATAAGTACATATGCACCTAAGTTAAAAGTACTTGCATTCATTAGTATCTTACATTAAAGAATGTACACACATACATATGTTTGTATATATATTGTGTGGTCAATTGCAATACAAATATGACTGGTTTATCTAGATACTGGACAATGGAGCAGTTTTATCATTAAAGCGATCGGCCGATAGCATTTATGTGTATCAAATATTTGTTTCATTGTAAGTAGCTATTATGTACAACTAGATTCAATGGTTAATATCTATCTACACCTGTTTCGCCCATGTCATTAAAATCTTCAGGGATACTAAAAACATTGCTCAAGAATCACTGTATCTACCGGTTATAAACGCATAAAAATCAATTCAGTAGTTTTTGAGTTGGTCGCAAACCGACAGACGCGTCGAGGAATTGGTCTTATAATACTACTCATTACTTTGGCATTGGAATTATGGCCGACCAACAACGTCATTTGAACTCTGTGATGTGCCCTCACTACTTGAAAACACCGTAAGTTCATTGACAATACATACATTGTTTTATTTCGTAGCTTTAATGAATTATTATTGAATAATATCAACTGTTTAAGAGTTAATTTATCGTGATAGATATCATGTCAATGTTAAGAAGTGATAAGTGATAGACTTTTTTAATTGTAGGTATATTTACTTCCAAAGCCATGGGGATAAGATTTGTTCAATTAAATAAATTAATCTTTTAGATTGATAAATAATGTATTTAGATTATATTTCAAATACAAATTGAGACTGTGTTCGGGTGTAATATAACAGTGACAATCTGACAATTTTTTTTTTCGAGATGTGTATAGAGTATATTTATTATCTATACCTTTTTTTGTACCCAAGGTGGTAAATTCTTCAAAAGTCTTCTCCTACTCTATACACTCACCTCTATAGGTATTCATGTGTTCCTACTGAATATAATACCCATTTTTAGCCAAATCTGAGCTCCCAAGCGGTCTATCTGGAAGTGATTGGGAAAACCCTATGCTCAGCCATAGACGCCTAATAACTGTTACCTATGATAATGATGAGCCCTAAGTAGTATGAGGGGAACATAATGCCACAATATGAAGAAGAAATGCCCTAAAACTTGCAAAATTTTAACACTTCTACCGACTCTTTTACACAACAATAAGTATTACAAACCTTATTTGCAAAGAAATAGCAATAATAATACCTTGTTCGGAACTTCATAAGCTAAACTCATGCAAACAATGACATGCATGATTTTAGAGTCCAAAGTCGACGGGCAAAGTCTAAACTAAAGAATTAAGTATGTCCAATGGTCATCGACTCCAATCTTAATTACAAAATTGGTACGAGTCATCCGGTTATTACGTATAAGCTGTACAACTTGAGGCCATGTCTTGAGTTAATAAAACCATAATTCTTGTATTGAATATTCGAATGCAAAACAATTTGTTTATGTCTTTTGAACAAGATATTTTGCTTTCCATCAGGTTATCACATCTATCCAATCATTGTTTCTTTGAAGTGTTACTTTATTATTTACTTAAAATAAAAATAGACCAAAGGAGGCTTCTATATTTCTGTTTGAAGATCAACTGTTTAGGCGTGGTATAACTTTGTGTAGGACCTCTTTGTTTAGCATTCCGATTATAAGTCTATGTCTTCCAAATGACCTTACTTAATTGGGCTAACTATCCGCAAACCCAGACGTCATTATGTAATAAAGATTTTGTACTAGGAATTAATTTTAAAATACAATTCATATATTAATAGTAACTATAAAACAGGTCAAACCGCTATGTGAAATTATAATTAATTAATTGAGGTGTAGGTACTAAAAAGCATTTTATTTTAGAGTTTATTTAATATTTATTCTGTTTAAAGCGGTTAAACTCAAAAATAAGTACAGCAAAAATAAATAATACAAATTTTATCAAATAGAGCAAATATATCGACTCTATTACAATAAAAGTCGTCTCCATTACTTTTGCAATTGTTAGTGAATGAGTAACTACAATATTTAGATACATTTTATCAGACGGAAGTATCTACTCACTACTCAGCGTTAGCAAATATTATTTATGATCTAACAGATATATGGAACAAGGTCACAGCTAGTAGAAGTACCTTGTATTTGTATAGTCTGTGGTTTTGTAGCCTGCCGACACTACATAAATAAGGAGAAGAAAAAACTATTTTTGTCACACATCTCTACAGTACAGAGTAATAAGAAAATATATTCTGCAAGTGACTTAAAATGTGTGTTATTGCAATGTATAATCTATCTCCGTGCGTTTAATTTAGATCCATTCAGTAGTTTTATGCATAAAGGAGCAACAGTAACACATACATCCGCACTAACTTTGCCTTTATCAATACATAGTATAAAACAAAGTCGCTTTCGCTGTATGTCCGTATGTATGCTTAGATCTTTAAAACTACGCAACGGATTTTGATGAGGTTTTTTTTAATAGATAGAGTGATTCTTAAGGAAGGTTTGTATGTATAATACATGCATATTGCACCCGTGCGAAGCCGGGGCGGGTCGCTAGTACTATTAATAAAAAAATAAGTTGATGGTGTGATGTGTGTTCATGAACAAGAGCCCCATTATGACTTGTAAATAGTAGAACGTTTCAAGTTACTAAGTCGTTATTTTCAATTAAATTAGTGAATCTCACGATCGTTTTTTATAGAGAGGGCTTAGCACAAGTTTGTTTTGCGTCTAATGAGATCGAAACGAGACAGTGTTTGTTTATCTGATTGGCTGGCTCTAATGAACCAACCAATCAGAGCGATGACCGCGAACAAACTCGTACTAGGCCACCAGAAAAAGTATTATAATACTTACTTCAAGTACTGTTGGTACAAAAACAGTGTCAAATTGGTCCTTAGACGTAACTTCAGTTCTCCTATACTCCATTTCAGTGCATTGTTTACTAACGATATCTGAAACAAAAAGATAATTCTGTAATATTGTCGGTACTAAGTCATTGTACCTACTTATAAACCAATAATGATAATGTATTTTTCTAATAATAGCCAATGACTTTGAATATGCAATAAGTTATAGTTAGGCCCTGGGCGGCTAAAAACTACAGTTAAAAACCGCCGCGATTCCGTGCTAGTGCGGCTGGGGTCTTATAGGCAGATGGCGCTTGCATCGCGTTTACAAACTTGACTTTGCATCGCCGTAAGTTTCAACTCGTCCCAGGGGATATAAAACCTTTTATTTTGTAGCGTGTACTCTGAATGATGTTAACAATTAAATACTATTTTTTCCAAGATTAAACGTAGTTTTTTGTTATTGTACTGACTTAAAATATAAATTACTTTTCATATAAATCACGACTAATAGCTTTTGTATAATATATTTATATATATTTCAAGCAGGAATTTTAAATGCAATGAAAATTTTCTTAATAAATTAGCTTTCATTGCCTAATTTAAAATAGCTGAAATATAATTAACTGTTCTTGTAGTATTAAAATGAGTAAAGCTGTATGTAAAAAACAAACAAATCATAAAAAAATACTAACGACAGGCATGGCAATGAAGAATTGTGTTAATAACCTTCTAAACTCCTTATGATTCATTGTGATGATGGACCTGAAACAATTATTATGTAATTAGTAACATATTAATGTATAATCTGTGCAGTCCCTAAGCGGTTACCGGTGATCACTCTCTACTTATTCCATTATAGACCTTATTTCCGATGTTTAGAGACTACTTTTATATGAATAAATGTTGTGGATATTTCATAATCGGATATTAAGATGTTTTATAGTATAAGGGGTGAAACGAGTGGATCACCTGATGGTAAACTATTACCGCCGCTCATAGACACCATGTAACACAGAAAAAGTTAAAGGTGCGTTGCCGAATTTTGAAGAGAGTGTTTGCTTAACTCCCTAAATTGCTGAACATATTTTGACGCATTTTGGTAGACATAAATGGTACTTAGAGTAAATTTTGGACATATAGGTAACTGTAGAGAACCTCAGAGTTGATTTTAAAAATGTTTTCCTAAAAATGATTGGAAGAAACAGGAGATTATGTATTTGTCGTATTTATTTATGACCACAACTTGGTCAGTCCAATGGTTTAATGTAATTTCATTAATGTTTTTTATGGCATAAGCCGGTAAACGAGCAAACGGATCACCTGATGGTAAGCAATCGGCGTCGCCCATGGACACCTGGAACACCAGAGGCGTTACAAGTGCGTCACCGGCTTTTTGGGGATTAGGAGTTTGAGGATCGTTGGGGATTCAGGGATTGGGGAGATTGGGGAAGGGGAAGGTAATTGAGCCTCCGGTAACCTCACTCACACGACGAAACACAACGCAAGCGTTGCTTCACGTC